CCTGGAAATATTTGTTCCGACTAGGTAAGTCGAACTTCGACCGAGAGGTCGATCGACGGATTCAAGTCGGCTGGGCAGCGTTCGGGAAATTACGACACATCTTCTCGTCAGGTATACCTCAATCTCTGAAAACTAAATTGTACAACCAGTGCCTGTTGCCAGTGATGACTTACGGATCAGAGACGTGGTTCTTCACTGCTGGCCGTATGAGGCCGCTCAAGGTCGCTCAGCGAGCTATGGAGAGGGCTATGCTCGGAGTTTCTCTGCGTGATAGACTCAGAAATGAGGATATCCGCAGTAAAACCAGAGTGACCGACATAGCCCAACGGATTAGTAAGCTGAAGTGGCAATGGGCCGGCCATATAGCTCGAAGAACCGATAACCGATGGGGAAGAAAGTCGGGCGACCCCCCACTAGACGGAGTGACGACCTGGTAAGACATGCAGGAAGTCGATGGATGCAGGTGGCTCAGGACCGTGCTTTGTGGCATTACTTGGGGGAGGCCTATGTTCAGCAGTGGACTAGTGAAGGGCCGTAATGATGATGATGATGTTGAATACATAGATAAATAATACCAAGGTGTTTTTGAAATTCTTTTTTTAAAGTATTTAGAAATGTTCTTCGGAAAAAACTTAGAAATTATTGAAAATAAGTTTATTATTTTGCTACAGGTTTATTTTACATTATGCAGGATAAAATTTAAAACATTTAACAAATCGAAATAGGTTTAGTTAACTTATTTTAAAAATCAGATTTGTGAAAAGAAAAGTCCTATCAGTTTATCGTCTTAGATGGTGTTAACCAAGTTTTTGTTTTTATTATAAGGCTTCAATCACAAAACCGCTATTTAAAAAAAGTTGTTGATTTTCAAGATTTATTAAATGAACTATCTGGAAAATATTTAATAAATTAGGAAAACAAAAAAGTTTTACACTATATAATAGTTTAACAAAGAGAACTTTAAGCAGACAGCTGCGTAAAAACAAAACGTGATATCTACCTAGGGCTAAGTATTCCCCAGAAAGACGTTTTGCTTTAACTTTACATTACTATTCACCGAAAGCTTAACAAAATGTGCGAAATATCAAAAGTTTTGAAATTCGTCTGCCTTCATCACATACAATAACAAAGTGGTACAGTACAATTTATGGCCAACTTGGCTACACAAAAAAAAAGCGTTAACTGTTTTAAAACTTAGACTAGAGAGTAACCCTGACAAGAAATTATATTGTATGATGAAATCAAAATAAAACAATTGACGGCGTACCATGCAAGTTCTAAAAGACATTTTGGTTATATACATAATGCCTTTGGCTACTTGCATGGTATTCTCTCAATTGCTTAATGTTCATTTCATCAATTACCAAGGTACAATAACAAATTTTTAAGGGTTACCCTCCGCTCTCAATTTTAATGCCGTCAGCACTTCTTGAGTAAACCCTGGTCGGCGATCGATAGTAGTGTACCACTTATTCAATGTACGTGATGCAGGCAAACATGTTCCAAAAGTTTTACGTACATAGCGATAGACTTTTGGTGAGTAATAGTTAAGTGTTAGGGCATAGTATTTCTTGCAAACTTGTAAAGCCTGTTTATGCTATTGTTTTTTATTTGAAGGCATTTTTTCATTTTAATTTTCCCTGGCCTAAGTGTTGGCTCATACTCGCAGTGGGAGTAGGACTAGTTCGGGCTATATAAGGAATTTTTTTCCAATTGTGAATTTCGAGATAACTTATGGAATTTTGCCGGAACATCCAATTTCTTTTTTCGATGTAGACGATATTGTGCAATCACCACGATCACCCTAAAATAAATAATTTTATTATAGTCAGGAGATTATATATATATATATATATATATATATATATATATATATATACGACATGTAACATGATTAACGCACTTTGAGAAAGTAGTTTGTTCAGAGTCGTTTACTGAATCGATTCCTATCATTTTTCATATAGGTAATTTTTTATCCCAAAAATAATTAAAACTACGTAAATTACAGTCACACTAAATCTGTACAGTCAAAACAAACTGAAATGGACATTATACTTAATACAATAAGACTCTTAAGAGTGCAGTTGTATTTGTATTATTACTAATTCTGTCATTCAATAAAAATAAAGAAAAATGCAACTTTATTTCAAGCAATTTAAAGTCTATTGCGATTCGTGGATTTGTACAAGCACACCAATGTGACCACAACATTCTTCCGGAATTAGTATAACTAATTTGATAAATAATCAGTGCATAAAAAATAATTCAGTGTATGTATGCATGGTTATAACATAATGATACTAATTGGGGTGTCTGAGGGTGTGCGTTAATTACGTTACTATATTGTGTATAATATATATATATATATATATATATATATATATATATATATATATATATATGTACTACATTAAGTTTACAATTACAATAATACTGTAATGATTATTATTCATCACAAACTGATTTAGTTGTTAGGAAATATATTTTTGTTAATATAAATATAACTTGTGTAGTAAATTATATTTATTTAAAAATAATTTATTTTTCACTTTATGAACTATAATGGCCACACTCGGTATTGGACGATAATATTTACAAACTACGAGTTTTAATGAAAAATTACTAATTAAAATACTCTCAACTTTATTATGTTAAAAATACTCACAGATGAAAAGTCACATTGTCCTTTTGTATACTTGACGTTTTTTATTGTTTTTTTTTTCATGTAAATGCACTGCAATTCGGCATTTACTGGCAGGATCACTTCGAAATGACGCACGACGCGGAGCAACTAGTTTTATATAACGAGTATGAGTCAGACTCTCGTACCTTTTACAGAGGGGTATGCCATGCGATACCGTCTCCTTTGGTTTAATACTCAAAGGTGAGATCATATGTAAAACGCCTAACTAATCTACTTTTGTTATTATTGTCTCTCCTATTGAATTCTCAATATAATTCTTTTGTTTGTAATACGGATGTTTGATCTGTAATAAAAGTTTTTGTTGAATACTCGCAATTGTTTTTATTAAAAATGGGAAAAATGCTAGAAATCCTACTTATAAACAAAAATTCTGTAATGAGTGGCTCAAGATATTCTGTACAAGGATTGGATCGTGCGAAAAGAAACAAGTCCAGGAGACTTTGTCGCGTCTTGTAAATATTGTATGTGTATTGTAAGTAAAAATAACAAATATTGACAAAGTGTACTAGAATGATTCGGTCACTAGAAATGAATGATTGACACTTACTACCGTACTTGACGGGATTATAATGTTCTCTTCAACGGGAGCTAGATTTTAATGTTGGCAGTACTGTTCAAGATCATAGAGGCTCAGAAGGGCTAGAACCCAGAGTCGTAAAAATCAAGATCATATAAAATCAAGATCATGAAGGTTAGAGAACTGCGCCCTCCTTTCTGCCAAGGAGGGTCGCGTTCGTATACGGCTTAGAGATCTCTCGTCAGATCGGTAAGCCAATCCATAAAGGTGGGGTTTAGTGGGTAAAAGTCCCCACATAACAACGCAGCCAGCTGCGTGGTATGCTATGAGCATTCCCCACCTCCCTCCCCCGCTTTCCGGAGGGTTGCCCATATTTGCTTCGGGCGCAAAAAAAAAAGTTAGAGAACAGGAGAACGATCACTATTAAAAAAAACGTACTAAAGCATAGCCTGCCTGTCCTTGAAAATTGTAGAATATATAGCGGCGCTGACGTCGGTGAGGAATGACTGCGAAGTTAGCTGTTTATGAGTACAAGTAGATGAAGTTAGTTGAATAATGTACAAAATTTCATTTCATTTTTAATAAGAAAATTTTCATGCTCCGTAATATTGTAATTTTTGACAAAAAGAAACATTAAAAAATGGAGAAATATTTTATTGTGCGTGCAGTTCTAAGTGATTTAGCATCTGATCGGAAAAATAGACTGAAAATGACTTTTATTGACCGAACTTTGGTGATCGCAGCGCCTCACTTATGGTGTCCATATTTCTGGGACACTATTTTCTAGGGCGATCGTTCTCCTGTTCTCTAACCTTCATGATCAAGATCATAATCAAGATTATATGATCTTGATTTTTTTATTAACTGGCTTTACGGCTCTGGGTTCTAGCCCTTCTGATCCTGTATGATCTTGAACAGTGTTGCGAACATTAAAATCTAGCTCCCGTTGAAGAGAACCGTAGACAGTGAATGGAATCTATGGTGAATGCTATTCTCTGTCTACGACTCTACGACGAGAACACTATAATCCCACAGATAACTATATACTTAATCCCGTCAAACTGATAATATATCGTAGACAGAGGGTATTTTCCGAAATACAACGCAGTGTACTGTCCAATGCAAATGACGTATCATTTGACACTTTATTGTACTAGCGTGCCACCGCCATATTGTGTCGGATATCCGGCCATAATAAAACAATTTTTAATTGTGTGTTTGCCGAATGAAGCATGCCAGAATTTGTTTCTATTTATTCAAATACAAAAAAATTATAGAATAATTGATGGTATATCCATTAGGAGGATATAATGATTTTTGGAGCACAAAATGACAAAATAATCGCCAACACTTTTCCAAATGGCGCAATAGTATGAGTCATATACTGTCCAATGTTTTGGAACGAATCACCAGTATAGCGTCGATTCATGACGTCATTTGCATTGGACAGTACACTGCGTTGTATTTCGGAACATACCCAGAGAAACCGTCATTTATCTCTAGTATATAGTTAGTAATCTATGTAATATATATCTTCGATAGGAGTAATAGTGTTCTGTTCTGCTTCTGTGATATATATAAACGTAATAGTTTCTTGCATAAGCATTTGCATAAAAAAAATGATTATTATTAGTATTTACAGAGTTATGACTTTTCATAACTTAAAAGCACAAATTTAATTAGTACAGTACTGAATATATATATGAAAATAGAACTATAACTATAATGCGATGTTAGCCCTCATACGTAACCTACGATAAAAAAATTTTTTTTTTCAAAATGCTTGCACAAGGTTCCTTTTATCGGGCTATGGTTTTTAAATATCCCTGGAAACAATGTTCGCAGTGTATACAATTATTATCTTCACAAGTCCTGCAACACAATGCTGTCAATGAAGGTCCTTGGAATTTGTACTTGAATAAAGTATCAAACAAAAGTCTCAGCCCTGATTCCCACCAGGAAAATGTTGTACAACACCTGCAAAAAGTGTACGAGGAAGTCACAGCTTTCGATAGACCATCTTTACATTTTCAACAACAATCTTTCTTTAATTTTTTTAAAAAAGTACCAGAAAAAATAATCGCTCCAAGAGGACTTTACATCTATGGAAGTGTTGGTGGAGGAAAAACTATGCTAATGGATTTATTTTATGAAACAATCCCAGTAAGTTTTAATCATTACTAAGTGGATCATATTAGTAATTTTATGATGTTTACTACAATTGGATTTATTCTGTGCTTAAGTTTTTTGCAATGATTTTAGATAAAAGAGAAACTTAGAGTTCACTTTAATTCATTTATGTTGAACATTCATGCTAGAATACATGAGCTTAAAATTAAGTCTGGAAGAGGTGCAAGTTCATTTAGAGACGAAGGATCTAAACCCTTCGACCCTATACCTCCAGTAGCTGCTGATATTACACAGGAATCATGGGTGATATGTTTTGATGAGTTTCAGGTATGTACCAGTTAAGCATTATGTGCTAATGTTTTCAATATATCACAATAATTGTATATTGTGGTATATATTGTAATATTATTAAAAGGAAACTTACATCATAAAGTCTATAAACATGTAATACCTCAATCTTTACATGTAATTAATAAAGGCTTATCATAAAAATTAACAGAATATCTGAGACAGTTCTGTTCGCTGATTATACCTCATTATTATTTATTTTATTGTCTAAGAGGGTGATGGCTGCTACACAAGTCATGCTTGTGAAGAAGTGTTGCTTTTAGACAACATGTATATGAACTGATATATATAAATTTATTTCATAAAAAACAGACTGTCTCTTGTAGAACAGGTCAAGGTGATATGCTCTATTAATCATTTAGATTGGCTTAAACTAGAAAGTCTTTTTTGGGTAAATATAAAATTTTACAATAAAATGTCTAAAATATAATCAATCAGACAATATATAAAATTTATGATGCTTTATTAAAATAAATTTCTTATAAAAATACAGTTATAAAATAGATCAATATTTTGAAGACAGTGATGTTTAAAAATAACCCTCATTCTTTATTTGCCGGTCCCTTAGCTACTGATATATTATTTAAAGTTTTAGTTAACATTTCAAAAATGTTAATAGACATTTAACATTGTAATGATTTATTACAAGTTGAGAAACTAAAACATGTCTGATACATAACATAAGAGTTAATTGTATTATATTAATAAGGTTCTTAAATGGCAATATATGTTTGTACTGAAATTGTGTGCTTGCATGGATACAGCTAGTTACTAAATTTATACTAAAAAACATATCTAAGCATTCTGAAATTAAATATATTTACTTACATTATAGAACCACACTGCAGCTATGCTAGACACACAGCTGCAGTATGAATAGGTCAGCTTGACTGGCGTATGGCCACACTCTTACAAAATATCAGTGTGAAACGGCAAAAAAATGGTGCTGTGTTACGTATGGTGAGTGTAGAAAACTGGAGACCCTTTTTATTGCTAATGAGGCATTTTTCATCTTAGTCCTCAGAGGTAACAACCCATCTTCATGTTTATTCTTGATTTATGGTAGATGTAGATGTGTATAACCCATAGCCAGGCCTTTGTCACTCTTACTACCTGCGTGAAATAAATGCCTACAATTGCACGTAACCTCAGGTTGTATATGCTAGCTCGTTTTAGGCAAGTGACCTACTAGTAAATTTCAAAGTTTTTTTAACACCGCATAAGTAAATAGATTTTTTGTAAGTACTTGTATTAATAATTTTTCTTATTATTTAATATATTTAGTTACAGGATAAAATAATTATTTATGTTTTAGTGTAATTATTTATATATATATATATATATATATATATATATATATATATATATATATATATAATATAGGAAATACATTCATTTAAAAATTTTTAAAACATAATAATAATAAAACCAGCCAATAATAAACTAGTGTCAGTGTTTTTCCTCTCAGTATGTACTTAAAATTACACATTATATTTAGAGTTTTTTTCACCCTTAAATTTATAACCATGAGTTTAGAGATGTTAAATTTTAAGATATTATCTTAAAGTTAAACAATTGCAAAGTAAATGAATAATCAGAAGGTAATATATACATGCTGTATTTTTAACTCGTAGTTGTAAGCCCTTGGTGACCACGAAATATCGTCTGTGATGTAAAGTAAAAGTAAAGTTACAGCCTATATACATCCCACTCCTGGGCACAGGTCTCCCCTCATTTCTGAGAGGGTTTTAGGGCAAGGAAGTGTCCACTTCGCTGCCCCGATGCGTGTTGGCGAACTTCACATGTCTTCGAAATATGTTTTTTCTTATTTCTCAGATATGCAGGTTTTCTCATGACGTTTTCCTTCACAGCTGAACATGTGGTAAATCAGCACTTAAAATTGCAATTAACAATTTCATTGGTGCCGGCGGGGATCGAACCCGGGTTACTAGCATTCTTTTATATGAACATCAAAGGAGTGCAACTTTTGGACATAGTACTATTATTTATTCTGTATCACAGCATCCATTTACCGTCCGGTGGACTATGTGCTCCAATGTCACCCTTATTCTATAAAAATATATACTCTCATCTGATGTTTTCCATTGTTTGACACAGAAGATAGAGCTATTTAGGGTCTACTAACAATATATCATAATACAATATCTATCCTATAACATGTATTTGATCACTTTTATCTAAACCATTTTTTAGTGGTTATTTGAAGTACCCATTTTTGAGAATACATATGTAAAATGAAATGTTCCACTACAAACATGTCAACTCATTATGTAACCAGTTCATTAGGAGTTTAGCAAGTATAAAAAAGTTTTGCTATAAATTAGGTGGAGCTGTGGTCTCAGGGGGTTAAGTGCTCACTGTAAATTTCACAGTAAGCAAGCAACCTGAGTCGGTTCCAGCCGGCACCAATGTAATTGTTCATTGCGATTTTAATTGCTGATTTACTATGTGTTCGGCAGTGGAGGAAAAAATCGTGAGGAAACCTGCATATCTGTGAAATAAAAATAAGTATTTCGAAGAAATGTGAAGTCCACCAACACACATTGGGGCAGCTAGGCGGATAATCCCTTAACTTTAGGGTGAGGGATTATCCGCTGCGCCCTATCAGAAGTGGGAGGTGCACAGCAGTGGGACTTATATAGGCTGTTTACTTTATTGTTATAAATTGGGTGACTTAGAGTTACATTGCAAAATTAATAAGTACTTTTTGGCAGGTAACAGATATAGGTGATGCAATGGTTTTGAAACGTCTATTTACACAACTCTTTGACAATGGTTGTGTAGTAATAGCAACAAGTAATCGGAAACCTGATGATTTGTATAAAAATGGTTTGCAAAGATCAAACTTTCTGCCATTCATACCTGTTTTAAAGGAGCATTGTACAGTTGTACAGTTAGACTCTGGTATTGATTATAGACTAAGAGGCACTGGCAATAAGTACAGCAAATATTTCATGTAAGTATTCAGATATCAGAGTGTGGTATTTGTTAAGAGATTCCATCACTTCAACATTATTGCAACCTTTATTAGTAAATTTATTGTAATGATTTCATAAATTTAAATAAGTTAATATTACACGCAATAATATATAATAAAAAAAATAATAAAAAAATATATATATATATATATATATACCGTGTAGTGGCGGTTGTGATACCGTGTAGGGGCGATTGAGAATATCCACTACCCCATATCTTCCCGTGGGTGTCGTAAGAGGCGACAGAGGGAGACAGGCAAGATGGGCAGCAGCATCTTCCTAATAACAACAATAACATAATAAAAAACTGCGGTTGCCAACCCGCTGGCCAAGCGTGGCAACTATGGCTAATATCCCCCCATGAGCAACGACACAAATAAACGGCCCCCAGTCCCCGGCGGCCCCGCTATTCCTGGCTACGGTGGCGACCATGGTAACGGCGGGGCAGGGGGTGCTAAGAATCTCCGGTGGAGGTTCGGTTGCCACCTACGACGACTCGACCTGGCAACGTATAACGCACGCACCCTGAGAACTGACGAGAAGATACTGGAGCTTGAAGAAGAGGTAGACAAGTTGCGCTGGCATATTATTGGATTATCTGAGGTCCGAAGAGAGGGGGAGGACACAGTAATCCTCGAGTCCGGCAACTTGTTCTATAATCCACAAGTCTCTCGTCAACAACGTTGTAAAGATTGGGAGTGTGTCGACGACGGTCGCGTACCTGATACTCAGAATCACCAAACGGTATTCGCTGAAGGTCATACAGGTCTACGCACCAACCTCGGCACATCCCGATGACGAGGTGGAGGAAATGTATGAGGATATTTCTAGAGCCATGCATTCCTCCAAAACCCACTACACGGTGTTGATGGGAGACTTCAACGCAAAACTAGGCACAAGAGAAGGCGGTGAGCTGAAGTTAGGGAAATTTGGAGTAGGGCAACGGAACCGTAGGGGCCAGCAGCTGGCTGACTTTATGGAGAAAGAGGGACTCTTTATGATGAACTCTTTCTTCCAGAAGCGGCCCCACAGGAAGTGGACCTGGTCGAGCCCCGACGGTTCGACAAAAAATGAGATTGACTTCATTATGACGACCAGACGCCAACTGTTCAGTGATGTCTCAGTGATCGCAAGGGTGAAAACCGGGAGCGATCACCGAATGGTTAGAGGCACACTGAACCTAAACGTTAAGTTGAAGAGGTCTCGTCTAATGAAGTCAACGCTCCGTCCCCCTCGTGCTCTAATCCAGAATCCCGAAAACTTTCAGCTCGAGTTACGTAACCGCTTTCAGTGCCTACAAGATTGAAATGCAGTGGACGATATGAATGACAAGCTCGTGAAACTGTCCATGCGGTCGGAGCTAAGTTCTGCAAGACCCGCCGCAGAAGAACACAAAAACTCTCCGATCACACTCTTAATCTCATGGCTATTGGACGGGAGATGAGGCTGCAATCGTCAACAGATTTGACAGCATACAGGCAACTGAACAGACAGATCTCCAAATGCATGCGGCAAGACTTACGCAACTTTAATACTGCTCGTATTAAAGAAGTGATCGAGCGGAACCAGGGCTCCAAAGTCTTTGCCAGAGATCTGTCTGCCAGAAAGAGCCAACTGTCAAAGCTGAAGACTGAGTGTGGCAGCATCGTTTCCGGGACACCTGAGATTTTGAGTGAGATTGAGAGGTTCTATGGGCAGCTGTACACATCATAGTTGGAGCCACACGCAAGTGTGAGTAACGATCCAAGAGCAAGTCTTACCCGACACTATTCAGATGATATCCCGGACGTCAGTCTGAGCGAGATTAGAATGGCTCTCCAGCACCTTAAAAATGGCAGGGCCCCAGGCGAGGATGGAATTACAGCGGAGCTTCTGAAAGCGGGTGGAACACCGGTACTTGAAGTCCTTCAGAAGCTCTTCAATTCCGTCCTCCATGGTGGCACTACTCCGGAGGCGTGGAGCAGAAGTGCGGTGGTCTTGTTCTTTAAGAAAGGCGACAACGCTCTCTTGAAGAACTACAGACCGATTTCCCTTCTGAGCCGCGTCTACGTGCTGTTTTCGAGAGTCATTACGAATCGTCTCGCACGCAGACTCGACGACTTCCAGCCTCCCGAACAAGCCGGTTTCCGAAAAGGCTTCAGTACCATAGACCACATACATACCCTGCGGCAGATCGTACAGAAGACCGAAGAGTACAATCTGCCACTTTGCATGGCGTATGTAGACTATGAGAAAGCCTTTGATTCCGTCGAAATTTGGGCGGTGCTACAGTCCCTTCAGCGGTGCCAAGTTGACTGTCGGTATATCGAAGTGCTGAAGTGTTTGTACAGTAGGGCTACAATGGCTATCAGAGTACAGAACCAGAGTTCGAAACCTATCCAACTGCAGAGCGGTGTAAGACAGGGTGACGTTATATCCCCGAAACTCTTCACCGCTGCGTTGGAAGACGTTTTCAAGCTACTGGACTGGAAAGGATAAGGTATTAACCTCAATGGCGAGTACATCACTCACCTTCGATTTGCCGACGATATAGTCCTTATGGCAGAATCGCTGGAGGACCTTAACACTATGCTCAAAGGCCTCAACGGTGTCTCCCAACGGATAGGTCTTAAGATGAACATGGACAAAACAAAGATTATGTTCAATGTCCATGTCACACCTATGCCGGTAGTTGTGGGGAGCACTATGCTTCGAAGTTGTTGACGAGTACGTTTACCTGGGACAAATAATCCGACTAGGTAAGTCCAACATCGACCGAGAGGTCAATCGACGGATTCAACTCGGCTGGGCAGCGTTCGGGAAATTACGACACCTCTTCTCGTCAGGTATACCTCAATCTCTGAAAACTAGATTGTACAACCAGTGCGTGTTGCCAGTGATGACTTACGGATCAGAGACGTGGTCCTTCACTGCTGGCCGTATGAGGACGCTCAAGGTCGCTCAGGGAGCTATGGAGAGGGCTATGCTCGGAGTTTCTCTGCGTGATAGACTCAGAAATGAGGATATCCGCCGTAAAACCAGAGTGACCGACATAGCCCAACGGATTAGTAAGCTGAAATGGCAATGGGCCGGCCATATAGCTCGAAGAACCGATAACCGATGGGGAAGAAAGGTTCTCGAGTGGCAGCCTCGTACCGGTAGGCGTAGTGTAGGGCGACCCCCACTAGATGGAGTGACGACCTGGTAAGACATGCAGGAAGTCGATGGATGCAGGTGGCTCAGGACCGTGCTTTGTGGCATTTCTTGGGGGAGGCCTATGTTCAGCAGTGGACTTGTGAAGGGCTGTAATGATAATGATGATGATGATGATGACACGCAATAAATCCCGTAAAATTAGTTACATTCTTAGTTTTGTTGCCTCTGAAAGATTGCAAAATGACCATATTATATACACCCCATTTAAAATCTCCAAATACAGCCTATCATGAGTCCACTGCTGAACAAAGGCCTCGTCTATAGATTGCCTCATGGAAGAGATATTTGCCATAGTTGCCACATTTCACCTGCGGGTTAGAAACTTTAATTTTTTTATTTTTTAGTTGTTATTAGGCTAAGACCATAGAGTCGTGGTAGCTTAGATGGTTAGCGCTCGCTGTAAATTTAACAGTACGCGAGCAAACCGGGTTCGATCACCGCCAGCACCAATAAAATTGTTAATTGGAATTTTAAGTGCTGATTTACCACATGCTCGGCGGTGAAGGAAAATATCGTAAGGAGACCTGCATGTTTGAGAAAGAAAAAAAATATTTCGAAGACATGTGAAGTTCGCCAATGAGCATTGGGGCAGCGCGGCTGACAATTCCTTGCCTATTGCCTTGCCCACTCAGAAATGAGCAGAGGCCTGTGCCCAGGAGTGGGACGTACATATATAGGCTGTAACTTTAACTTTATTAAGCTAAGACTATGCAAACCATTTGTATTGCTTCCTTTTTTGCGTCTTTTACAGCCACTACACATCCAATAACACATTGAGAATATATTTCTACTAAGTTGTACTTTTGAATCATACGTTTTTTTTTTCTAAAAAATATTAGTAATCTTATTAATTAACATTACTAATATTACTTTTAACCACTCCTGGTAAGCTTGAAACGCTTCTGTTAGGAGTGGTTCACGACAATAGTCGAATGGCGTATTCGAACCCACGACCTTTTGAGTTCGCGATCCGCGCCCTGCCATGAGGCTAGTGTCGCAATATGTTGTTACAAGAATAGGAATTTAATAAGGTTTGCTGATGATCACCTCTCGCTTTTTAATCTATGCTTGTCTGTTCACTGTTTCGACACATGTGATGTCATGACTATATAGGAAAAACCCCTCACCTCACCCTTCCTACACGCGGGTTGTCAAATCAAATCAAATCAAATTCATTTATTTGCATAATACAGGTATAGGAGTTGTTACAAAAAAATTAGAATATGTACACTGTATTATTACCTTATGAGGTGTGCAAATACATACTTTACAATATAGTCTACGCATTACTAATTCAATAATGGTGCTTTGAAATAAAATTAAGAATAAGAAAAAAAAATATTGTCAATAGTTGAGTCTATAGTGCTAATTGTTGTCATACTAAATACCTTGATATTATATAAACTCGAAATTAAATATTTTTGATAATACGAATAATCAAATCCAAAATGTTGTCCTACTTTGTATTTGTATAATTAGTTCTATTATTTAGAAATAAAGATAAAATGAAAAATAATTTTATTTTTGTTTGTATGATGTATGTTTTTGATATATTTGATTCTTTGGTATTGCAGAAATAGTGAACTTCAAGAAAATAATGCTGTAGACACTCTATTCAAATTCTTAGCATCAAAAGAGACTGATACTGTAAGACCCAGAGTTATTAATATTATGGGAAGGAATGTGAAGTTTGCTAAATCATGTGGAAGAGTTTTAGATTCAACATTTGAGGAGTTATGTGATAGGGTAAGCATTAAAAATATAAAAATATTGAAGTAATCGAGCGCTAATTCATTTCTATTGTCTTATTATTACGATTTCTGTGTTTTTTACCGTTCGGAAAAAATAGGGTGTAACAGGTGAACGGAGTAGAAGCTTATGGCACCGATATTTTACAAAAAAATTAAAACAAAAATTTTGAATTAAATAAATAAATCAATTAAAATCTATCCAAACCCAAATCATACCCATCCTAATTTACCAGCAGCAATAAAACAATAAATTTGGTAGGCTCTTTGTCAATGTCCTTTCGCAGGGTCACAGGCTCAAGGGCAAAGCCGCCTGTGCCCTAAACTCTCATTTCAGCTACCTATGGTTTGCTGCGGCGTGACGTCGCGTCGCCGTCGTATTGTTTATGTTTCCGCGTGTGTATCGTAAACATGTACCAATACTCTAATGTAACAATGACAAGATTTTATGTCTTGTCTGGTGAAAACTTAGACAGTGCGACGAATCGATATTTACCCTTGAAATTTATAACGCGCAAAATGAGCACTGGTGGAGTTTCTAAAACCCTCTTTGCAGCGAAAGGTAATAGAGGCCCAGCAGAATGTGGTGCCGGCAAACATTATTTGTCTTTCGAATTCCACTCATATGCAACAATTTTCGCTTCCGCTTCGTGTGATCAATTACCTATGTATCTGTGAGCAATGTTTGCAACAATAAATAATTAACACACGTGGCACACAGCAGCCGTGGATCTCACCACTGGGCTAGCTATTTTTAATAGGCTCAGTTGCTTGTAAGCTCTAGGCAACTTATTGGAACAGTAAATGTATTGTCCTCTATACCGAATTTCGTTCACGGCGATCAGTCTCAACGTAGACTAGCCATCGCGCATATGCGCAAGCATAAATGCACTATCTCTTCCCTCGCTCTCATAGTTCGATAGTACGGCAATCCGATACTAACGGGGAGAGATCAGACGCAGGTCGGTACCAACGGCTTTTTACGTGCTTACTGAGGTACAGTATGGAAACACCACTAACTTTCAGTTCACAAAAAACTTGAATTCATAATGAGATACTTACTTTTTTGTTTCGAGATACTTTCTTTAAAGATTATTTTTGTTTCGCTTAATTCAGTGCTTGACTACTATCCCACTTGATGGTAAGTGGTGATGCAGCCAAAGATGGTAAAGCGCACTGACTTAGCTTAACAAAAGCCTATTCACTCTTGCCTTAAAGATATCCACAAGCTTACATTAATAAATAATAATAAAGACCATATCAGTTAACGTTTATTTATTTAACAGTTTATATGTAACACCATAGTAAAGGGTACATAATGCGGACTTAATACCATGTGGCATTATCTGCCAACTCTTTGTACCAAAGACAATTGTGCGCAGGTGTGAAACATATTACTTATATAAAGTGTACATATATTAAAATATTACAAAAAATTTTATATTACATTCTTAAAACAATATTCTTATACGATGATGTGATGTACTTTATGGACATCCATATGAACGAAGTTGCGAGTACAGCTAGTTTTAAATATTAATATAGCAAACATTTTCTTTTTATTTCAGCCTATAGGTGCCAGTGATTATCTTGTAATATCAAAAACCTTTCATACTGTATTCATCCGGGATCTTCCGCAATTATCTATAATGAAACATAGATCTCAGCTGCGTAGGTTTATTACGCTTATTGATACATTGTACGACAATAGAGTTAGGGTGAGTAAATAGAGAACAACAAGTAACTAATTAGAACAAATGTTTTTATTTTATTTGTCTTATTAATGAATAAGTGTAAAATTATTGGCATTATTTAATACTAATTGTTTCCAATACACAGAAAAGTGTTAATTAATATATTAATGTATTATTCCAGGTTGTAATTGCTGCAGATTGTGAACCTAAAGATCTTTTTAAATTGGAGGAGAAAGACGATTATGCCGATGCAGATAGAGCTTTGATGGATGACTTGAAAATTACGAAGGATTCAGTAAGTTTTAATGTGTCTGTGCTTGTGATACGCATTCTAAAATATTTTTTTTTAAATAAATTGAAGTGTCAAACAAACTTCCAGTCCAGATCTTGGTAAGTCGCTACTGCCCATGAACACCTACAACCAACTTCAAGTAAAGAAGGGCTACAAAAGGTTATCGCCCCTTATGACTAAGGTCGAATGCATCACAGCCTGTAATTATACTAGTTTTCTATACTCTTCAGATATAATTACGTTGAACATAAGATTTGCCTTAATAAGCACGCAGTCGTAATGCGATGGTAGTACATGCCGAATGGCTCGCAGCTTCGACGATATTTCTTGTCATTTATTTTGGAATGTACGGCCGCCTCTTCTTACGCCACCTTAGGGTCAAAATGGAGGCAAGTAAATATTTCCTTTTTTTATAGGATAGGGTGACAAACGAGCACACAGTCCACCTGATGGTAAGTGGTTGCTGTGGCCCATAGCCATCTACATTTATCCTCGATTACGAATCAAAATGCAGATGCGTTGTCACCCGTGGGGACTAAGATGAAATGCCTCGTTTCCAGTAATAAGGGTCTCCGGGTCTCTACACTCACCATACGAAACACAGCAGCATTAAGCTACTATTTTACGCTGGTATTCTGTGAATGAGGTGAATGTGTAATGAGTTAACAAATTATCTAAAATATAAGAGCTGTGGTATTTGTAAGTTAATAAAAAAATTACACAAAAGCTGGTTTATATAATTCTCCCTAGACCTGTATATTTTACCTATATTTAACTTGGAGTTTTATAACACTAAAAAACTAAGCAAGAGTTAAATTCAACCACAAATATTAATAATAGACAAAAAAATTTACAGAATAATTATGAAGTCGACTGTACTTGTGCAGAATCCCCCGAACTTGTGCAGCTAAATTTCCTACTTTCTAACTTCACAGCCGCCGTTATAGTCCGGTTAAATTAGACCAAAAAATAAGAGTGAAGATACATAAAGTTACAACAAGCTGATAATCAGTAAAATTGATCAAATATAATTATATTTGAAGTTCCCCACCATTCCTGTGTATGGAAAAAAATTACTCATGGTCAAAGGTCAAAAAAATGAGTCGCGATTTTCAGTAAAACGGTAAGTTTTATCATAAAAATACCCCAGACAAAAGTTGTAGATCATAAAATTATCTACAAAAATGTATCAAAAGTTGTATATACGTGGCGTACTCGTGCATATTATGACGTTTACAACTTTTAAATCGTAATATCTCAGAAACGGTAGCTCGCAGGAAAAAAGTATTGATACATTTTTTGTAGATAATTTTATGATCTATAACTTTTGTCTGGGGTATTTTTATGATAAAACTTACCTACCGTTTTGCTGAAAATCGTGAAACACTCATTTTTTTTTACCTTTAACCTTGAGTAAAATTTTTTCCATACACAGGAATGGTGGGGAACTCCAAAATTTTATTTTGAACAATTTTACCAATTATCAGCTTGTTGTAACTTTATGTATAACCAAATGTCTAGATTGACTGGACTATATTAACACTACCGGGCTATAATGGATTAGGAGAGTACGGAATGTTTTAACAACTATAATAAGTGAAAAATAATTTTATTGCAGGACGATGCAAAGGCGGCAATATTTACAGGAGAAGAAGAAATGTTTGCGTGCAACCGATGTCTTTCACGAATTATGGAAATGCAAACTGATGAATATTGGGATAAATGGGGAAAAAATCTTGATTGATGAAAATACTTTAAAAATCTATTAATTTAATATTATATAAAATTCCATGTGATAGTTACGACTTTAAAATAAAAAGTTTCATTAGTGAAAAATGATATAGTTCCAAAAACGATTATTTAAAAATAATTCATTCAGTATTAAGTGACATTCAATTTCAATACTAATATTTGTACATATGTCTATTGTTACTTAATACGTGAGTACAAAAGTTCAAAGTTTTGGTGCAGAGTGGACCTTAATAAACTGATAAGATAATGACGATAACTCGAGATTACGAGTAGAACTTTTGTACTTACCTTTCATTTTAGTCAAATGTTTTATAAATGTTATTGATGTATAGAAAACTTTATTCTCTTAATTTATTTTTGATTAAAATATTGCACAAATAATTTATACGATATTATTATTTTTTATTTGTTTTAACTAATTGGAATTTATTATCCAATTATCTATAAAGATACTATGGAACTAGACCTAAAAAATGATAAAGTTTGTCGGAGTACTGTAGGAGAAGAAATCAAAATACCACTGATATAGACACATTCTTTATTGAAATTTTTGGAACAATGTAAATTTACACATTGTCTAAGTCTAATCATACATGTGGCTGTAGTATTCCTGGTAAACCTGTATATAGGTTTCCTTTTCGGATGGGGACATCTTGGCGATGACGTCATCATCGACGCTAGTCAGAGGCACGGCTTTGCCATTCACCATAACGGTCGGTGCGTTGTCATCAGATTCTGAATCTTCGCTTTCCATCTCGGCTGGAATATTAGAGATAAAATTTTAGTAAAGTAATATATGCACCAAGTACTACAAAAAACTCACAGGCCCCGGGCGCTCGCATAAAATTTCATAGTATGTGCGCTAACTTGTGCGGTCAATACCGACAAGAATGAAATATTTATTCGATGCTGATTTACCACGTACACAGTGTGAACAAAAATGTATCTTAAAGACATTGCTTGCAAAATTTCTACTTTTTGGCATATTATTATTTCTGCATAATCGTAAAACAGTCTGATATTTAAAAAAACTCCGAGAAGTAACGTATACGACAAGCAATGAGCATGAATTAAATAAAATAGTATTGTATTGAAGTTGTTTTACTGTCTGTTACTGTTTTAGGTTTTGTCGTTTTGAAATGCACCAAGGCCACCTTTGATCTCCGTTACTTTAAGTAAATATAAATAAAAAAATGAACACTCGTGTTTCGAAAGCATTTATTGTCGAACTAGCTCTAGTATTTATAGCACAATTGAATTTTTTCAACAAAATTCGAAAGTTGACGCTATGGTAAAAATAGCTTAGAAAAACATAAAACATTTCTTAGCTGATTGTTTAATCATCAGAATAAAATAGAATATTTTTTTATTCAATATAGATTACAAGTAATTCTTATTGAAAGTCAATTTTTTACTTTACCACTGGTTCGAAAAAAAAAAACCTCTTTCGAGGGAAGAACCAGCGAGAAACTCAGCGGGATTTTTTTTAAATAAATTTTACAATAATTTATTTACAATATTTACAAAATTTATATTAGAAACAGCTTGGAAGCGACCACCTCATTCCCAGGCGTTATTATTATCAACCATGTATTCATTTATATCATAATAACACTTTGTAAGTTTTTGTTTAATTAAATATTTAAATTTGGTAATAGAGAGACCTTGTATATTTTTGGGACTTTGTTGTAATAGCTTACACATTGCCCCAAGATTGAATTACTGACTCTGTGGAGTCGAGAAACTGGTATCACAAGCTTGTGTTTGTTCCTAGTGTTTACAGAGTGTATATCACATTTTTTACTAAAACTACCTTTGTTTTTGTGAACATACATCAAATTTTCATAGATATACTGAGAGGCCAAAGTTAATATATTTATTTCTTCAAATTTTTCTCTAATCTTAAACCGAGAGAGCCTCTCTCGGTTTTAGATTGTAAATAGCTCTTATGACCCTCTTCTGCAAAACAAAAATAGTTTCTAAAGCAGCAGCATTCCACCATAGCAAAGATAAAATTCCCCGATAAAATTTATCCCATAGAGTGATAGTTGTCTTAAAGAATTAATCTAAACATCTAGTAATTTTAAACCGACCAAATATAAAAGTGAACAACTATTTTTTTCTTGTTTTGAATCCTGTGAATAACTTAAAACAGCCCTTAGATGAGGAAATTTTATATAAAACACTTTTACTTACCGACAGCAGCGAGCTCGTCTTTAAGTTTATACGGATCCTTGGATTCATTGTCACTAGAATCGGAACTGTCTGGATCGATCCCCTTCAAAGCATTAGAAACATTGTTTCCTATAACAACAATAAAATGAGTTAGAACCTTATATGCGTAACATATCACCAAAAACGGTTGACTAAGTTAGTTCTAGGAGTAAATGTGTATTCGATATGTAATTTGTCAGATTACAAGGTACTTCTTTTTCAAAAAGATCAGGGTGCTATAGCATTACTCTATCACCTCGTAAAACGTTTGTAGGATTACCGCGGGTCAACTGTTTATACCTAATATAATAAATGCGTCGGGTTCTATACAATAAGTGATACAACTAACACTATATGGCGTTTAGCCTCAGGAATTGTATTTTGCTTTAGTAATTTATACACATGTGGATGCATAAATAACTTTTCACTAGTCGAATGCCAATAGGCTCAATAATCTGTGGTTATAACACAAGCGATTTTAAAGAGCGGCCTCCAGTGACTGATTTAGAGTTCTGAGCACCCCTCCCCCCTCTTCAGCCTTTTTTCCTATGCCTGCCCAGCTCATATATCTGTTTGGTAAGCGTAAAAAGATTATATTATTAGTAAGTTAATAGAATAGTTTTTTTTTAACATTCAATTTTATGTTAATCTATTATTATCAAAATCTAGCGATTCGCCTCTGCTTCGCACTGATGATTGCTGCAGTTATATTAGTAGTATAGTTGTAGCACGAATGGGTCGGCTCGACCGAGGAAGGACCACGCTCTCACAGAATACCAGCGTCAAATAGTAGCGTAATGCTGCTGTGCTTCGTATGGTGAGTGCAGAGAACCGGAGACCCTTTTTACTGGAAACGAGGCATTCCATCTTAATAATCCTCGCGGGTGACAACGCATCTGCATTTTGATTCGTAATCGAGGATAGATGTAGATGTCTATGGGCCGCTGCAACCACTTACCATCAGGTTGACTGTGTGCTCGTTAAAATAAAATAAAAATTTAATAATACCAAACTTGAACCAAATTTGAATCTAAACCATCTAGGGACCCATTAAAAAACTCATCAAAATTGGTGGAGCTGTTTTTGAGCCTAAGCGAGACTAACGAACAGCAATTGATTTTTATATACAGGTATCCCAGAAGTCTTCCCTTACGAGGTTTTTTAAAGTTACTTGCCAAACTTGTGTAGTACATTTTCTTTGTACAGTCATTTAAAACTGGACAAAGTATTAATTTTGAATACTTAGTTGGGAAAACATTTACATTTCCTTCAGGACTGGAGCAGTTGGCTGTAAATTTTAAGCAACAGTTTTCGGAAGCATTATTTAGGATTACACACAGAAATCGTAGCTATTATGTATTGACGAACATAATTCACTATATTGTGATTTAGTTGCGCGGGGAACGTCGTACGTGAATTTATGTTATTATAATGGTAAACTGCTGCATAATAGTAAAAAAAAAAATAGTAAAAACTCATCAAGGACGTATAATTCAACTAATAAAAGCATAAAATTTCATAGGTAAGTTGATTATTTACTAATTATTCAATAACTAATTATCGTTGTTTTAACTAATTTACATCTCCATGAATACTTTACTATGATATTTACCTTTGTTAACTTTCATTTATTACTTTTTGTATTTATTATATTACAATTACCATGCTGCTTTTGTTCTACCGTAATACGCGACGCATGAGATGTTGACTAACTCGCCAAGTAATGTAATGTGACACATTAAATATTGTGCATTGTGTATGTTTATAATACGGCTGTAGGTGGCGACATCGGTTTTGGAAGTAATCGAGCACTAATTCATTTCTATTATCTTATTACTACTATTTCTGTGAGATTACATAATAAAATGAAAATTAAAAAAAAAAAACAGTTTTGTAGCCACAGGAGTTAATAGACCGTCACAGAGCGTAGATTTTCTCAATTTTGTTTATAAATGTTTATAATTTTTAAAATGCATAGCAAAGATTTTTTTATATTTTTCTGTTAACTATTATGACGACCTATAACCCGATACCGGCTTGACATCGACTTCTGGGACAACCTGCATAGAGAAGATTTCAGTTATAGTCTGTAAAAACCATTTATTTATAAAATTGAATTGCAGGTGTGTTGCCGGCCTTATCAAAAAGAGGAAGATCGTTTCTTTGTAAGTGGTATTGGTCCGGAAAAATCACCGATGCTAAATGACAAAGAAGTCTTGCGACAAATTCGGGCGGGATTGCGGGAAAATTCCTCTGAGAACTCCCCGTGGTAAATTCTACATAAGATGCAAAGGTATGCAAACATCTCTTCGCCAGCGTATCAAGCCGATCAGAAAGAACTTGTTCGTTGATGATTCGAGCCTCTCTTCGCTAGATGCGTCAAGTGGAACACATATATAATCTTAGAGACACCACAGCCCCCCTAAGATATATTCCATGTGGAGCCGAACTTGCGACTTGTAAAGTTGCAAGTAGGAATACTGTCTCACTTTGCAGAGCACGCCAAGCTTTTTAGAGGCCAATTTAGCCTTCCCTTCAAAGTGACAGAACTGTACGTCATTCAATATGTCGATGCCGAAGATTCAGATGCTGGCTGAGGCAGCAAGGGGAGTTCCCTGAAATTGAAGTGATACGACAAAGGGATTCTTTTTAGGGGTAAACGCGCAAACCCGTGTCCTGTGAGGGTTAAACTGGACCAGATTTAGTCGTACCCAATCCGAGAGCTAATCGATTTCAGAGACAAGTTTGTCCCGGTACTCGACGACTTGTTTTTGAGAAATATTGGTACGGCCGGTGCAAAAAGTATCACGAGTGCTGTCGTCAGTATAGCAATTTATGTTACTGGCTTGTAACATATAATCGATACAGGTACAGAAGAAACAGCGTAGCGTTATTAATAGGCTTGTAGTCAGAGTATGCACCCATCTACTACGAAAATGATGCTCCGATCAGAAAGAAAACTGGTGATTCAGTTGCATAATTTCTTGGAAAGCCCACAATATGGTGATCCTCAAGGTACTTCATGAACTCCCGTTTTATAATGGATTTGATTGTTTATAATGGATTGTTCTCTCTGTGCAGAGATGAAAGAGATGGATAACAGAAGTTTCCTTGGACAGTCTTGGCTAAAGGACATGATTAAATTAGAGGTAGAGAAGAGAGCTTGAGCAATTCAAAATCTTTAAATCATAACCAACAGTCAACGAAAGACAAAAGGCACCAAATAGTTCAAATTCTTATATTTAAAATCTATTTGTTTGTTTTGTACCAAAAATAAAGAAAGAGTAACAAGCAAAATGCTTGCGGCATTTACTCTGTTATTTATTAAGTATTTTAACGAATTTTCATTCTTAGCGTACTTGCAGACCTTGCGCTCTAGGCTCTAGCCTAATTAGCCTGTGGGTAAATCAGGCTGTGGCGGCCTCTTAAAAGGTTTCATATTAAATATGGTGTAATTCATTTAAGACGAGGGTTTTCGCGAACTGAAGGCATTTTGACTGCTACCTCAGCTCCCACCCGAGGTGTTCACCTACAGGCGATTGCCATGGTTGAAATCTTCGCGCAACAGTATGTGAAATCAAGCAGTTCTTTAAATAATGATTTCTTATATTTACGCGAACACCACACATTTAAATAATACCAGTTTTTACGGATGTTATCCAGTATATTTAACTTTTTAAATACCCGACGTTTGGAGCACTTTACAGCACAGCACAGCAGCGGTGTTCTTTAGCGAGGATTTGTGGTGTATCAAATCTGATGTAGTGACGGGGGCGGTCCTGTAGGTGTTCACAGACTGCAGACTAAAGAACATATAGCTGATATGAAAAATCGATGGTCCGGGAAGTCTGCAATCTGTGAACACGTACAGGATCGGCCCCGTCACTACATCAGATTTGATAGACCACAAATCCTCGCTAAAGAACACCGATTCCTTTCAAGGATGATTCGCAAGGCTATTGAAATCAAAAAACATCCTAATTTCAATAGAGAAGATGGCTGGGTGCTACCATCTGCTTGGGATCCTATAATAAATAAAATTAAATCCCAAACCAAGCATACAACTGCAAGACTTCAAGATACCAAAAGTTCATACTGTGTAGATTTTTTTTTGCGACGTAATGCTATTGATTGATTTATTTAATTTAAGTAATATCAAATATACAAATATTTTCATGTGAAATAATTTTTTGCATAGTTCCAATTAATTTTAGTAAGTATTTAATTTGCATGCATTGATTTAATTTTAAACACTCTAAAAGATTATAAAAATATTCGAACCCAAAATTTTGATGTAATTTGTGTTTAGTTGATAACTTTGCATTTGTAACACGGTAGTTTACATAAGTCTAAATAAGTCCTGTTAGAAAATCGCGGGCATACTAACACAATGTATTGGTCAAATACATCGATTTTTTTAAATCCTTACAAAAACTTCGAGGTACACTGACATTTAGTTCTGCGTTCTGCGTTCGGAATCCCGAAACGGTAATCCGTATGTATGTGGACGGCCTATGGCGGCAGCAAGTCTATATAAAATCAAGGTCCTGCCACACACACACCTACGGTAGGTTTTCATTCGAGATTTTGCGGGCAAAACGGGATTCCGTATGTGTGTGGCCGAATCGTTCGTTCCGTTACGGAATTTCGTAAATAGTCTGTGGCGGGCCTAAGTTAATATCACCGTGTAGTGCAGGCCATTTCCCCTATCTCCCCCTATCTAACAATTTATAACATCGTAGGAACGTTGTTATAAATTGGTTATTAACGACACAATAATAGAAACATCTTGTGGTCCGACAAATCGCGAAATGATGATTTTTTTTATAGGATAGGGTGACAAACGAGCACACAGTCCACCTGATGGTAATTGGTTGCTGTGGCCCATAGACATCAACATCTATCTTTGATAACGAATCAAAATGCAGATGCGTTGTCACCCGTGAGTCCTAAGATGGAATGCCTCGTTTCCAGTAAAAAGGGTCTCCGGTTCTCTTTTTCTTTTCTTTATTTTTTAAACAAAAAAAAAAAAACACTCACCATACGAAACACAACAGCATTAAGCTACTATTTTACGCTGGTATTCTGTGAGATGATGTGTGTAATTATAGCAATAAAAATAATGAACGAATTTCGTTACTAAACCTTGTGTATTCTGCTTCTCGTGTGCAAGAAGGACTGACATAATATCGTCGTTCTTCTCTTTTCCAGCGCCTTTCGTATTACTAGCGTTACTGGCAGCTTTCTCAAGCGCCATGTCTGACGAATGCACACTGTCGCTCTGTAAAAAAATATATATTTGTTTAAATATATCAATTATCAACCTAGGGATAGAGTTTCGGCGGGAATTTGACCGCCAGCGGATTGTTGCTTCTATTTTATCGTTTATATGGTTGTATGGAAGCAAGTGCTCCGACGTTGGTATAAACCTCAAGTTATTTTGTCCGCTTAAGAACTTGAGATACTGTCGTAAGTAATCGACAATTCGTCAGACAGAGTCAAGCTGTCATCGAAAGCTCCCAAGAACTTTTCAATGTGACGCATAGCAATATTGTGAAGATTTTGAAACAAATTACTACTACTACTACTAAAAGTATAATCGTACGAGTTCATAAAGAAAAAACACCTAGAGATATAAATTATTTATTGAAAAGAAACTACAAAGAATTTCTTGAGACTTGATAATGCGACAATGTGTACCTCGTCGTTGGCCAGGACGGTGCTCTCCACCATCCCGATAATGTGTACCTGGTCGTTGACGAGGACGGTGCTCTCCACCATCCCAACAATGTGTACCTGGTCGTTGGCGAGGACGGTGCTCTCCACCATCCTGACAATGTGTACCTGGTCGTTGGCGAGGACGGTGCTCTCCACCATTCCGACAATGTGTACCTGGTCGTTGGCGAGGACGGTGCTCTCCACCATCCCAATAATGTGTACCTGGTCATTGGCGAGGACGGTGCTCTCCACCATCCTAACAATGTGTACCTGGTCGTTGGCCAGGACGGTGCTCTCCACCATCCCTATAATGTATACCTGGTCATTGGCGCGGACGGTGCTCTCCACCATTGCGACAATGTGTACCTGGTCGTTGGCGAGGACGGTGCTCTCCACCATCCCAACAATGTGCACCTGGTCTTCGGCGAGAACTGTGCTCTCCACCATCCCGACAATGTGTACCTGGTCGTTGGCGACGACGGTGCTCTCCACCATCCCGACAATGTGTACCTGGTCGTTGGTGAGGACGGTGCTCTCCCCCATCCCGACAATGTGTACCTGGTCGTTGGCGAGGACGGTGCTCTCCACCACCCCGACAATGTGTACCTGGTCGTTGGCGATGACGGTGCTCTCCACCATTCCGGCAATGTGTACCTGGTCGTTGGCGAAGACGGTGCTCTCCACCATCCCGACAATGTGTACCTGGTCGTTGGCGAGGACGGTGCTCTCCACCATCCCAACAATGTGTACCTGGTCGTTGGCGAGGACGGTGCTCTCCACCATCCTAACAATGTGTACCTGGTCGTTGGCCAGGACGGTGCTCTCCACCATCCCGAGAATGTGTACCTGGTCGTTGGCGAGGCCGGTGCTCTCCACCATTCCGACAATGTGTACCTGGTCGTTGGCGAGGACGGTGCTCTCCACCATCCTAACAATGTGCACCTGGTCGTTGGCGAGGACGGTGCTCTCCACCATCCCGACAATATGTACCTGGTCGTTGGCGACGACGGTGCTCTCCACCATCCCGACAATGTGTACCTGGTCGTTGGTGAGAACGGTGCTCTCCGCCATCCCGATAATGTGTACCTGGTCGTTGGCGAGGACGGTGCTCTCCACCATTCCGACAATGTGTACCCGGTCGTTGGCGAGGACAGTGCTCTCCACCATCCCAACAATGTGTACCTGGGTCGTTGGCGAGGACGATGCTCTACACCATCCCAACAATGTGTACCTGGTCGTTGGCGAGGACGGTGATCTCTACCATCCCGACAATGTGTACCTGGTCATTGGCGAAGACGGTGCTCTCCACCATTCCGACAATGTGTACCTGGTCGTTGGCGAGGACGGTGCTCTCCACCATCCCGATTATGTGTACCTGGTCGTTGGCGAGGACGGTGCTCTCCACCATCCCGATAATGTGTACCTGGTCGTTGGCGAGGACGGTGCTCTCCACCATCCCGACAATGTGTACCTGGTCGTTGGCGAGGACGGTGCTCTCCACCATCCCGACAATGTGTACCTGGTCGTTGGCGAGAACGGTGCTCTCCACCATTCCGACAATGTGTACCTGGTCGTTGGCGAGGACGGTGCTCTCCACCATCCCGATAATGTGTACCTGGTCTGTTTACGCCAAATCGTGGCTATTTGAAACTTGCAAGGCGCTCGTCGGACGAGGAACCGGTTGGCGGGTTGCGCGGGGGTTTTCGTCTTGCGACCTGCGACCGCGCCTGCTAGTGTGGAAGAATCTTTGTACGCGACGGCCTTGTCGATTAGAGATCGGGAGTTACGTAATAATTATTCTCCGCGACGGCTGTATAGGTTAGAATCGTCACGTCGCATTAAGACTGCCTCCTTGTGTTGTCTTATTTTGTACGTATACGTGACAACGAGGCTTTCTTTGAGTTTTGAGTGATTAGCTTAACTTCGATTGACATTAATTTGTGTCGACGAGTGGCTTGTGTAGTTAATATTGTATGAAGGAATTTTGCTTTGTCGTGTGGAACGCTAATACCCCTATTACACTACCCTGAATCAGGCTCCTTAATCAGGGTGGTGTAATAAGACAAAGGGAGTAAGGGTCACTAATTAGGGCGTCAAAAGGGACCCTGTCTGCAGTGCCCTTGCCACAGTGCAGTGTAATAACACTTAGGGCAGTTGGGGCACTTATTCGATATGCGACTAGGGATGCAAGCAATACATCGATTCTTTCAAACATTGAGATATCGTTCATTAATATGGTTCTTCATGAGCAATGTTTTACTTTTACGAACGATGTTTTGGCTTGCCGTCAAAGGTTACGAAATAACCAACTAATCGAAGATAGTAAAATTTCGTATGTTATAAGTTGCGAACGATGATTATCAGGAATTTGATGTCACCTAAAAATATATCAAAGTTATATAAGGTCTAAATTTTTAAAGTTAGAAGGTATTTAGCAATAATAATTCAATCCCGAAAATTTTAAATACAAATCAACAAACAGGTGATTGGTCTAAGTCTAAGCTCTAAGCCGAAAATAATTATACTTGAACTTCAGGAGTGCAATTGTCTTCTATCGGTAATTTCATTTTCGATATAAAATTGTAGTTATTTTTATTATGATAATTAATTAACATAAGTTCACAAATATTGGAAATGGATTGAAATTGTCTTATCCATTTTCTTATTAATAATTATGTTGTTTAGCTTTAACTTAATCAATAGCTTAAGTACAGTATTATGTGGTAATAGTTGTTTTGTAATGGAAATTATTTTATTGGCTTACGGTACTTCAAGTTCGTTACAATCACTTTTCTGAAATATTGGTTTTTGATGGATGAACGGTTATTCACCTGTTTGTATTTTTAGTATAGTTTCGTAAATGTATTCAAAAATTCGATAATACTGAAGGTGACATATGGAACTACCATAAAGAATTAACGCACCACAACATAAGAAATAAAACTAAAGCCGAAGAAGAGTTTCATATATCCATGTATGGATGCTGGATGAAAAAGTTATTTCCCGGGCTTCATAGCCTAGTTCAAGATTTATTTGCTTATCGTGGCAGCTTCGGTAACCCGTGAGTGGTTATTCTCAGAGGCTGGATTTACAATCACTCATTTACTTTATTTACTATTATTTATTTACTATTTTAGACAAAAGTGGTTGAAAAATCAAGGAGCTAAATCTTTTTTTTTATAGAAGAGGGGGCAAACGAGCATGCGGGTCAACTGATGTTAAGTGACTACCGCCGCCCATGATCAACCGCAACACCAAGGGAATTGCAGGTGCATTGCCGGCCCTTTAGAAAGGAATAGGCTTTTTTCTTGAAGGTCCCCAGGTCGTATCGGTCCGGTAAAATCGCTGGTGGTAAACTATTCCACAGAGAGGTTGTACGCGGAAGAAAACTCCTCTTGAAACGTACAGTGGTGGACCGCCAAGCATCCAGATGGTATGGATGGTATCGGGACGTTTGCCGCGTAGTGCGTTCACGAAATTTGGCGGCTGGGATTAATCCGAACAATTCCTCAGAGCACTCTCCATGGTATATGCGAAAGAAAATGCAAAGAGATGCAACATCTCTTCGCAGTGCCAGTGAATCGAGCCGATCGGAAAGCACTCGGTCGTCGACGATTCGAGCCGCTCTGCGCTGGATGCGGTCAAGTGGAAGGAGCTGGTACTGGGGAGCCCCAGCCCAGAGCTGGGAACAGTATTCCATGTGCGGCCGAACCTGCGCCTTGTAAAGTTGCAGGCGGTGTGCCGGCATGAAATACTGTCTTTTTAGAGGCCAATTTGGCCTTCTCTTCCAAGTGACCACGAAACTGCACGTCACTCGATATGTCGACGCCGAGGATTCCGATACTGGCTGAGGCAACAAGATGAGTGCCTTGAAACTGAGGAGATACGACAAAGGGGTTTATTTTTAGCGGTTAACGCGCAAACTTCTGTCTTCTGGGGGTTAAACTGGACTAGATTTAGTCGCCCCCAATCCGAGACTCTGTTCAGCAAAGACTCGACTTCAGACACAAGTTTGTCCCGGCACTCGGAGACGTTTTCCCGAGAAATATTGGCTCGGCCGGTGTAAAGAGCATGACCAGTGCTGTCATCGGCATAGCAATGAATGTTACGGGTTTGCAACATATCATTGATATGCAGAAGAAACAGCGTTGGCGATAACACGCAGCCTTGTGGAACACCAGCATTAATAGGCTTGCAATCGGAGCTTGCGCCGTCTACAACGACCTTGATGCCCCGATCTGCAAGAAAGCTGGTGATCCAATCGCACAATTTCTCGGGAAGCCCATAGGATGGGAGCTTCAAAAGAAGCGCTTTGTGCCAAACCCGATCGAAGGCCTTCGCAATGTCCAAACTAACGGCCAATGCCTCCCCCTTGGACTCTACTGCCTCCTCCCATCTGTGAGTTAGGTAGACCAGAAGATCACCAGCTGACCGACCACGGCGAAAACCGTATTGGCGATCACTAATCAGCTGGTGATCCTCAAGGTACCTCATGAGCTGGCAGTTAACAATAGACTCCATTGTTTTGGAGAACAAGGAGGTGATGGCGATAGACCGGTAGTTGGACGGCTCTGAGCGGTCGCCTTTTTTAGGGATCGGGTGGACGAAAGCCAATTTCCATGATTTCTGGACTACGCCTAGGGAGTAGGAGTACCGGAAAAGACGCGTTATAAACCGGTGCCAACTCTGGAACACACGTCCTCAGCACAATTGGGGGTATTCCGTCAGGCCCACTCGACTTGTCCAGGGTCCAGGGATGTCCAGGGAGAGGAGTGCTTTTCGAACCGAGCGCTGTGTGAACTGCACTTCCGGCACGGAGCACTCACACCGCGGGATGGTCGGCAACGTACTCCCCTCGTCATAGAGAGTCGAGTTAAACGCAAAGAAAGAGCCTAGAAGACCGGCTTTCTCCGCTGCGGTATGCGCCAGTGAGTCGTCCTCCCTGTGTAGAGATGGAAGAGATGGCTGACAGAAATTCCCCTGGGCAGCCTTGGCGGGAGACCAGAATGCACGGGTTCCAGAAAGAAGGCGAACTAGTTTCTCGCCAATTCTGCCTATGTGCTCTGACTTTGCCTTGGCAATGACTCTTTTGAAGGACCTAGAGGCAGAATTATACTTCTTTTTTAGAGCGCTGGTGTTTACATCCCGGGATGCTGATGCGTCAGCCCAGGCTTGGTAGCACTCCTGCTTATAGCATGATGCTATTTTACAGGAGCGACCAAACCATGGCTGAAATTTGCCTCCAATGGGCACCACAGAGGAAGGAATAAAAAGTTCCATACCCTGAAGCACCACATCAGCGACAGAATCCGCAGCAACGTTTGAATCATCCGGCGAGAAGCAAACCCGCCCCCCAAGGGTAGGATGCAAAGAAAGACCGCATCCCATCCCAATCGGCTGACCTATAGTGCCAAACACGGCGGCAGCCTGCAGAATGCAACTGCGATTTCAGTGTGAGTGGCACCACACTCAGAACAAGATAATGGTCCGAGGAGCCTAAAGGGGCGTCGACGGAAATCTGATATCCGTCCGGGTGAGAGGTCAGCAGAAGGTCCAACAGGGAAGGTGCATGATCCTCCACATCTGGAATCCGCGTAGGCGAAGTAACCAGTTGTGTCAGACCATATTCCAAGGCAACATCATGAACAGATCTCCCCGCATGATCGGTTAAATGTGAACCAAGCCATTCGGCGTGATGGGCGTTATAGTCGCCGAGGATCACGATCTCTGCGGAGGGGATCTGCTGTAGCAACGAATCTGTAGCCATTTGGACGTGGTCGAAGAGTCGGTCTGTTTCGGCATTACCGCTATGAGACCTATAGAGGCACCCGTAAATGCGCAGATGGTCGTCGCTGTCTACGCGTAGCTAAAGGATGGACAGGTCCGAACCTTCAAGTCGGCCGAGGCGTCGAGAACAGATGTCCTCTCTGACGTAAACGCAAACTCCAGCCCGAGGCACAAAGGAGGTTCCAGTTTGTACCCCGGTAAAACAACTCAGCCGGAGAGGACACCTGCGTCTCGGTCAGAAAGAGAGAGCGGCCTCGCCGTCTCGAGATGGTAGTGGACGGCGTTTAGGTTGGAGTGAAGTCCCCTGATATTGCAGAAATTCACGGACAGCGTGGAAGGGGTCGTCTTGATTTTGTTGCTCCGTTTGCCACGAGCAGTTGTAGTCTTGAGCGGAATTTTGCCCCCCCCCAGAATACGCGGGGCAGCCTGAGCACCCACGCTCATAGGTGGAGAAACATGGTCGTGGATGCTCAGAGAGGGATTCTCCAGGGGTGCTGGTACCCTCCTGAGGTAGTCTATCATCATTTAATTCCGCTACCATGTTGATGGGGGGAGGGATTTGAGCCTCCGGCCACCTGCACTCACCAGACGAAACGCGGAAGCAGAGCTTCCACTTCACACCGGTATTCTGTGAGGTCGTGGTACCGCCCCGGTTTGAGCCGGCCCATACGTGCAACAGCAAAGCAGCCGCGTGGCTCTACCACTGTTAAAATCTTATATCTTGATAACTATTTCCTGTAGCTAGAAATCGTAGAGTGATAAATAATCTGTGCCTAGCACTTACACTCTGGCTTACAATCGTATTTTTTTCGATATATGGAGGCACTAAAGTTAATAGTACCTCGAACTCCTCTTCCCCCATTCTCAAGTAATTTCGGTATTCATTTGGCTCCAGAACTCCGAGAATCCGCTTACTTGAGTGATTATTCCTAAGCTTTAAATATTCTTTCACCCATATCTTTCTTTTCCTCCGCTTTTCTTTAATGAATATTGTCGCAATGACAGCCATAGCAATAGCGACTTTTTTGTTTTGATAATATAACTGGCATCATAGACCAAGTATATGTATAGGGAAAGTGACTTTGACGTTCAGCCGCTACAAGATTCCCTCCCAGACTTAATCGTATATCTAGTTAGTTTGTGCCAGACTCTCAGACTGAGTATAAGTTGGCTGGCTTGGGTAAACTATATCGATATTTATTTCAGAGTATCGAAGTCCGTATCAATTTCGATATATTTTAAAATTTTATATTTATTTCATTACTTAATAAGACAAAACATTAAACAACAAAATCAATTATGTGCTGTTGTCAAACATCCATTAATAAAATTTTAGTTTTTACCCTACTACATCATGCAAAACATGACGATGTATCGATATTTATCACGCGATATATTATATTGATACTGTTTAAAAATATCGATATATTTTTTCGACTTGCCTGTCTCTATGACTGAGTTAGGGCGTAAAATCAGTGTAGTGTAATAACTGACCACCCTAACTAGGGGCCACGCCCACCCTTCATTCAGGGCCCTGATTCAGGTAGTGTAATAGGGGCTCAGTTGCTCGTCGAGTTGGGTTACTATGGGCCCCAGCCCAGACGACTTTTGTCGGGGTAACTGAGGGCCGTAACATGGTCACACAACTCTCCACCATCCCGACAATATGTACTTGGTCGTTGGCGAGGACGGTGCTCTCAACCATCCTGTCAATATATACCTGGTCGTTGGCGAGGACGGTGCTCTCCACCATCCCGTCAATATGTACCCGGTCGTTGGCGCGGAGGGTGCTCTCCACCATCCCGTCAATATGATCTGGTCGTTGGCGAGGACGGTGCTCTCCACCATCCCGTCAATATATACCTGGTCGTTGGCGCGGACGGTGCTCTCCACCATCCTGTCAATATGTACCTGGTCGTTGGCGAGGACGGTGTTCTCCACCATCCCGTCAATATATACCTGGTCGTCTGTGCGGACGGTGCTCTCCACCATCCCGTCAATATGTACCTGGTCGTTGGCGAGGACGGTGCTCTCCACCATCTCGTCAATATATACCTGGTCGTTGTCGCGGACGGTGCTCTCCACTATCCTGTCAATATGTATCTGGTCGTTGGCGAGGACGGTGCTCTCCACCATCCCGTCAATATATACCTGGTCGTTGGCGCGGACGGTGCTCTCCACTATCCTGACAATATGTACTTGGTCGTTGGCGAGGACGGTGCTCTCAACCATCCTGTCAATATATACCTGGTCGTTGGCGAGGACGGTGCTCTCCACCATCCAGACGGGGCGTTCCTTGCGCTGCGCGGGGTCGGCGGCGTCGCTCTCCCCGATGGTGACGTCGACGCGCGTCTCCTCCACCGCCAGCCCTTGGTGGCGCGTCGCGTCGCCCGACCACTGCTCGCCCGTTCCGCGATTTGGCGGTTGCTTCATCGTCAATCTGATTATACGAACGGACATTGTTTTTTTATTCGTCGTATAATTGCCTACAAAGATTGTTGGCAAAAAACTGTCAAACACTATTATAAATGACTTAAATACCATGTTCATAGATTTCTTCACAATATGTTGATTTGTTCACCTCACTAAAATATTTTCCTGTACAGTTGTCATTTTACGTTTTTGTAGCAGTGGATAAACAATTACATAGTCCACCTGATGGTAAGTGGATGCTGTGGCCCATAGATATCCACATTCAACCTCAAGAATCAATATGCAAATGCGTTATCATCCCTGAGGACCATGATGGAATGCCTCGATTCCAGTAAAGAGGGTCGTTTACCTTTATGGCAGGTGGACAAACGTCACGATCCGAAACATTGAGCTATTATGTACTACGTAATAGAGGCGACACTGCATTCAGCTACTCTGTTCCACTCAACTGCGGTGCATACACCACACTTTAATCAGTCACTCGCTAGGCGCTTGTAGAGTTGTCACGTGTTGTGTTGATTTAAAAAAAGCTCTTGATAAAAATATTCCGTCGTATGTACTTAGATATTGCACAAATAATTCAAGAAATGTCAGTAAAAACCAAGGAATTACATTTTATCGATTAATAAGATACTTAATCAATAAAAAAAGTATTATAGATTAATAATAAAACAAATTATTCCTAAGACGCCATCTCGTGTCATGGAATATAGATTATGAAATTAATACGTTCAGATGCGACATTTCTGTGGGTACTTAAGTATAGGACGAATATATTAATATACACATTTTTTTGTAGAAACATATATAAGTTATTAGAATTTGGCAAAATTTTTCATGTTTAAATCTGCTTATTATTCTTTTATTTTATTTTTAGGTTTCCACATCAAAGTTAAAGTGGAATAAATTCGTTCATTTTTAACTCTCACGTGCCCAGCCATAAATGCTGGCTCTTATACTAATTTAAATAAATATATTTGTAATTTAAATGTTATGTTAATAAGTTTTGTTAAACATACATTTAGTATGTTTTTTATATTTAACATAGATACCTTTTAAAATATTCAGATAAAATATCATTAAAATGTAAATGTGCTATAATATTATGTAATATTATATTAAATGAGCAAATATAATGTACAATATAAATGACGAAATTTAAATATTGTTCTCGATATAATTTACCTTTTTAACAATACAATTTACTATTACCTACGGATCATTCTACCTATATTTATTCTATGATAAAAAAATAACCGCGCGAACACAGAGTAGCCCACATTTTTTGTCAGAGGTAGCTGTTCTAGTACGTAAGTACATATTACTTCAATGATCGGAAACAACTTTTTATAGGTATTCATTATACGCTGGTTCTAAGGGTAATTCAAATCCGCGAATAAGTAAAATCCGCGGTCCCGCTGAAAATGCAGCCACTCGGCCACGTACTAACGAACCATTGAAGAATTTGATTTAAACTTACGCAAAACAAATACATGTTATAGAAATGTTTACATACCCTCTAATAGTATTAATATCCACCGGTTCCGGTTCTAATATTTCTGGAGACAATTTGATGCCTTCCACTTCCCTAAGTAATATATAAAGAGTTTCCAATTGCTCATTAAATTTAGCCAAAAGTAATCTGGAATCCTTTTTAGGAAGTGCCGATTGATCTTCCTCAACTACTTGGCTGCAAAACGTGCACCGAAATTCTTGCGTCATCATATCGTATAACTGATCTGCCTGAAACATTAAAAATAGAGGTAGAGGTAAACCTTCCTTAGTGGACTGAGATTGGCGGTAATCGCCGGAAAAGAGCCAAAGTAGGACTGAAAAAAATACAGTGAAATCGCTTTGCTTAACACTGTCAGAAAATTGTGTATGCTAAGTTTTTTTTTTATAGGGGAGGGAGCAAACGAGCATGCGGCTCACTTGATGGTAAGTGACTATCGCCGCCCATCAACAACTGCAACACCAGGGGAATTGAAGATGCCTTGCCAGCCTTTAAAAAAAGAGTAGGCTCTTTTCTTGAAGGTCTCTAAGTCTTATCGGTTCGGAAAAATTGCTGGTGGTAGTCCATTTCATAAGGAAGTTGCACGAGGAAGAAAACTTCTTCTAAATCGCACAGTGGTGAACCGCAAATAATCCAGATGGTATGGATGGTATCGCGAGTTGTGTCGCGATGTGCGATGGTGAAAATGAGCGGCTTAGTCTGAACAATTCCTCAGAGCACTCCCCGTGGTAGATGCAATAAAATACGCAAAGATATGCAACGTTTCTCCGCATTGCCAATAAGTCAAGCCGATCAGGAAGAACTCGGTCGCCGAAGATTCGAATCGCGCTGGATGCGATCAAATGGATGAAGCTGACACTGAGGAGCCCCAGCCCAGAGATGGGAACAGTATTCCATGTGAGACCGAAACTGCGCCTTGTAAAGTTGCAGGCGGTGTGGAATCCTGTCCCAATAGCTGGCCAAGCTTTTTAGAGACAAATTTGGCCTTCTCTTCCAAGTGAACACGAAACTACACGTTACTCGATATGTCGTGCCGAGGATTTCGATACCGGCTGAGGCACCGAGGAGAGTGCCCTGAAACTGAGGTGATACGACAAAGAGGTTCTTTTTAGCGGTAAACTCGCAAACTTGTGTGTTCAGGGAATTGAACTGATATTGATTGAAAGAGTTATGAAAGAAACTGACGGAAAAATTTGGTATGTGTAAGCTGGATTTAAAAAGGGGTTTGAGTATACGGATTAAGTCTTTTTAGACGTACGTTGCTTTAATTTAATATAAAAATATAATATCGTTTCTTTTTTCTTACATAGATAATTAAAACGAACTAAAAGATAAATCTTACCTCAAGGTCCGTGAAAGTTTTCCCGCACGAGGGGCATTTAAAGCTTGCTCGACTAGTGGCGTCCCTTTCTTCAGTTTCCATGCGTTTGCGCATCAAATCTAATTTGTACTTAACGACGTTTACGAAGGTTTTGTAATTTATAAAATAGTAGTTGACCTTTTGTGCTTTTCCGTCGAGACCTGAAATTTGTTAATGTTTAGAAACATAGAATACGTTAAGTTACGTTTTAATTATTCTCAAAACAGATATCATAGACAAGAAAAAAAATTAAGCTTCAGAAATTTTCGGTAAAGACACTTGTTATTTTTGGTGTATAATATTTTGGTTCGCCATTATTTAAGGACATTGAAGTAGAATGTATTATGCCAATGTAGGTATGACAAAATTAGAATGATCTCTCGACCTGTCCACAAACTTATTAGTTACTCATACTCGATTCAGAATAAATCGACAAACAGCTAGACGATAGGAATCACCCGTTGATTTATGTCAATGTGGTTTTGTCAAACTACATATATTGTAAACTCAAACTTAGCTAGGAACATGTCTGAATCTGAAAACTAGAGTGTACCTATAACTAGTTGTCGAGTAAGTCGGCCAGACACCCAAACACCCAAGCACGCACGCACGCACTCGCACACAAACATCTGAAGTACCAACCTATAATAAAGTATAACTTTTTACAATTACTAATAGTTTTGTTTGTACATTTATTTTGAGGTAAGGCACTGGTTCATAATATACAGTTTCATCTACATTAAAAGCCTGGGAATTCACATTTATTTGTAAAAAGTTATTGTTAAAGTTACTAGATCTATTCCCAAGAGAAGGATTGAAAGAGATGTGACAGGAGCATCAGAAGTGTTCGCTTCCAACATTGAGTTATATATATAAATCAATGGCTTCCAAGCACAAAGTAGATAGATAAAAATATTTGGAATAGGAACTTTAGGTTTTATCTATCCCTTTGTTAACATTTTATAAAGCAGATATTAATAATGCCTGGTATCAAAGGCATAATATTGAGTTTTTAAGTAATTATTACGTCATCGAGATAATTGTCAATTTTTTTCTGAAACTGTGTACTTTTACCGTTACAGTAGGTCAGCAGTTTTTAACACCGCCAATCCTAAATCGAGAAATTATCAAATAAACTTTTAAAAACTGAGTATTACTGTTTTGTTTCCAACCCAATCCAATAAATGTTGAATTCCCAATAAGAAGGTTAACTCACCTGTTTCCATTTTTAATCTGACTTGAATAAATTTGTCATTTTTTAATGTGGCGATTCTCGCCCTTAACATCTTCCGTTCAAATTTTAAAAGCTCGCAAATGTCGTCTTCTTTCATGCCTAAAACAAATGTAATTTTATAATTTAAAAACCAGTCTTTAATTTACAAATAATATGAAATATCGTAAAGAAGACATACAGGGGTTTCTAACGAGCATATCCACAATAAGGGCATCTTCAATTGTATAAAATCCTCGTACGACCAGCCTGGCAAGCTGCTTCAAGCTGCTGGGCACCTCCGTCACTAATCTTTCTTCCGTCATACTAGCTGAAATTCGATAAGCAAAAGATATAGTGAAAAAAAAATTATGTTCAACATAAGAAGTTGCAAAAATTCTAAAGACTAAAAAGCATTACATTTATTTTTACACATTGTATATTCAATTATATTATTCCGGTCGTTCCATTAAGAATTGTAACTTTATACAATTCTAGAATGTTTTCCTGGCCGATTTCAATTCAAACACGTCGATTTTATATCGATTAAATATATAATCGTGGGTAAAGTTATAAGTTGCGCAGAAACTCTTTCGAATCCCATCACGCTTTTGTGATAAAATTCAAAAGAGGATAAGGTGCAGTGTCATGACTATCATAGCATAATCAGCTGAACGATTTTCTTTTAAATGTTGTTTTTAGTGGGGAACAAACTCAGGACCCATATTGACGTAGCAGTCAAGCTCTTGATCTGACATTAAATTGAGCAACTTATTGTGGTTCATGGTGCTTACTTTACTTTCACCTGAAGACCACACACATTCATTGTATAGTAAAAATAATAATTTAAGACAAAATCAATTTGAACGTTACTTTTGATTGATTATTCCTTTTAAATACCAATAATAGTGTAACTTTAACAGATTGAGGTCAAATTCACATAATATATTATTTGTTCTGTCAAGAAGAAGATCCATAACTATACCAGGATCCCAAGAGTTTAACAAGTTATGTTGGTTTAGTGTCAAAATTTTTAAAAAATCTGGACCCGATTAAGTAAAAAGTTTGGAATGATAATATCATAGAGACCTCATCGCGCCACCTATCAAAAATGGTAGAACAGCGTCTGCTGAGTACCTAAAAGCTAGATAAATAAGTAATGTTTATTACATTAGGAAATCTATAAAATAAAATGTGTAAATATTTTCAGAATCTCTTAAAAGCTTAAAACCATGGGCCTACACCCTACCCTACCACAGAATAAATAATAGTACTACGTAACCCTACACTCAACAGTATTGACCGACTTTTTATGGCTACGACAAAACTCTTTGACTGTACTTTATGTGTGCCCTAACAGCGTAGGAATGCCGGAAGCAAAATGTTTATTTATTATGTAAGAATCACAGACAAAAAGGTTCATTCATCTGTGAATCGTTTCCATTTGTAACATTTGTCGAACGAGCGAAATCTTCTAGAATATCATTATCGATTGTTTTTGGTGACAAGATATAGGTTACCTTCTTACAAAATTTCTGAGAACATATTGAATAATTTCATGTCGACTTACCATTGAGCGTGATGTGGGAGGTGATTCATATTTGCTATTTTAGGATAAGGGGTAATCAAAAATAGTACAGGTGTGCGCGTATCAGTATTTACCATTATCTTCGATCAATTATATTTAGTAATAGTTGTCACACATATGGTAATTTTTTTCGACGTGTAACGATAATCATGAGGCTAGTTCTGGTGTTATGCTTAGTCGACGTTTAATATACATATTAAGAGACGCTACTATTGTATTGTGGTTTTTGTACTATCACAGAATAAATAATAGTTCAAGAACGGAAGGATCACTCTCTGATAGCAAACTTGCGAGTTTAAACTTAGTTACAACGTAGCTAACGTTCATAATACTTTGCACGCTTCGGAAGCGACCTTCGTGAAATTAGCCTACCGATTAAATTGTCGAGAAAAATCGGTATGAAGGATGAAATATGGTGTGAATCGTCGGTATTAAATCAAAATGCACCTTAAGTCCGCGTGCGAGTGCCTGTATTACTTAGCACGTTACGCGTCTTTGTTAAGAGGAGTATTACAAAAAAACGCGAAATTACTAGATTTCCTCGTTGAATTTGTACGTTTCTCGTTCGTTACTTGAAATAACAATTACTTAATAAAAATAGTTCGTTTTCTCTACTACAATAAGTTCAGCGCAAATATGTAGCTAACTTATTTATTTATTTAGTAACTAGCTGTGCCCGCGACTTCGTTCGCGTGGAATCATTACTTTTGCTATTCTAAGTGATGATGATTTATTTATAAATTAAACTGTCACGAAGACTTAGAAAAAATTCAGTTAGTCGGTCAATCAGAAACAAACCAACGAACAAATAAACGGACCCACAAATGAACCAAGAAACGAACAGGGCAAAGCTGTACGCTTTTGTTTTATTTTTTAAATAAACAACAAAATGACCGCAATAATGTAATTCCTTATTTGCTCCCGAATTTCTCTAGCCAATACATGGTTTCCATACAACAAATAAGATATTGCCCTTAATAAACAAGCACAATCATTAATTATTGATATTGAATAAAAAATTGAAATGAAAACTACAATCCAATGCCTACCTAAAACTAAGTGCCTACATTAACAAAATAAATGAAATTGCGTAAGTATCTATATTATGTCTCGTTCTGCAAGCAAATGTAAAATATAACTAAACTCAATCTAGGAAAATTTTTTGACGTTTAAGTAATATGTGTGTCATCGGCTCATCGGGCTTAAAATCAGTTGGGTTTTCTATCAAGAAATTCTCAGTAGCAGCCCGGAGTCAAGAGTTTAGCAGTGTTTCATCCCTATGCCTCAGAAAGCACGTAAAGCCGTTTTATCTGTATCTGATCTCACTATATTTTTGTCAAATTGCTAACTCGGACACAATATTGCTAACAATAGATAGACAATTTTTAATATTTTGTATATATTGATAATAGTTATAAATAGTTGCAGATTTTTGAGAAATTCTATAATAAATATTATTCAAATATCACAATTTCGTTTTACAGATTTCCCCACCACCATGCAATTAAAAAAATTTTTTTTCCGCTCAAACCATGTATCCTGGTTTTAACACTTTAAGGTGAGATATTAGGAAAATTAAAAAAGAAAACGATTGCATTATTTTAATCCTAAACTATTTGTACTAATTTTAAAGTTACAATAATCATTTAATAATTATTCCCTATACCAATATAAAATCACCCCGTAAAAACATTCTTAAAACCTTATTTTACTATCTAACGATTTTAATTGTCCACTTAATACTAGATATTTTAATTCTAACTAGACATGGGACGAGTACTCGGTTTGGATTCGGTACTCGGCGGATTCGGCCTTTTTTAAAGGTTCGGCCGAATACCGAGTATTAACGGCCGAGTCGTCGTAATCGAGTTACTCGGCCTTAATTATATTGCAGAGAAAAATAAAGACAAAAAGACAGTTTTTATCATTATTGTTAAGTATATTAGACACATTAAAACATGAGGAACATAAGAATCAGCTGAATTATTGAGAACGTACATAAGAATCTATACTAGACATTAGTAGATAGGTAGTACCACTTCTGGCCCACTGAGTCAGAATGTTACAACGTTCGTCGACTCACGATCCTAAAAAAAAAATTGCGGAGGATGCACGGTTCCTGAGATGTGCAGATCAATTAACTCTTATCTAATTGATATCCGGTGAGGGCCTCCACCGTCATTAGCGCCCCATTGTTCCTTATCTATTGTTCATTGAATACCGTCATTGTCTATTTTTCCTCGGCGTATGCGTCGGCTTATCAGTGCTATTGTATTATACTTCTTTGTTCCTATCTACAACGCTAATCTGAATCATCAATAAAACACATTACCTAATTTTGTTACAATTTTTATTTACAAAATACAAAATCTTATTACTTATTGTCTATAAAATAGGAGCGAAACATCTCATCCACTAAAATATCATTGTACAATGTGTTCCCTGTATACTCGTAAAACTATGCATTGAACATCCCTGAAACTTATATAGAAAATACATTAAGCAATATTCGCCACAAACTGAAGTCCACTCATTCTGAATCCTATCAACATTCCAGTTCCATCTTTTACAATTCCTTTTTAAAAACTCTAGATGATATCGTACAGGTGATCGTCCGTATGAATCAAAATATTGACCGACGTCATTCGTATCGATATATAAAGCTACCCAATGTGACCCTGGTTTATCATCTGTATCCAAATTGCATATTATATACATTGGTACGTGGGTATACATGGGCAGTCTATTAGCAGCATAAACATTATTTTCTAGACTGGGGTGAATCTTTTTCAGATGTTGTTGTACATCTAGTGTATCCATGATATTACTGCTATTAGTAGATTATTACAGTACCAATCTACTCAATGACTAACATAGGAATACAAATCGTATTTGAGTCATCGATACACTGAACAAGACGCAACACGAAGGAATGTTGAGATAAGCAACAGAAAGTGAGATAAGCTTGTTGCCGCATAAAGTTACTCGTACTATCAGTTCCACTGCAGAAATTCTTTAGATTAGAATTATTACTTACCGGTACTATATAAGACCGAGCAGCTGCAGTCATGGAGTTAGTGTATGGTCGTTTGACCATTTCAACGCATCAAAGGCCATGTATGTAAGTGTTTATTCTATTGACAAACTTACTTTTCTTTCTGTTATTTTCTTACGTGTGTATGATTTAGTGTTAACAAATTATATTTAAATATTATGTGTGTATATGATTAAGCCGTGGTAGCTCAGATGGTTAGCGCAAGCTGTAAATTTCACAGTACGCGACCCGGGTTCGATCCCCGCCGGCACCAATTAAATTGTTAATTGCAATTTTAAGTGCTGATTTACCACGTGCTCAGCGGTGAAGGAAAACATCGTGAGGAAACCTGCATGTCTGAGAAAATTTCGAAGGCATGTGAAGTTCGCCAACACGTATTGAGGCAGCGCGGCGGACATTTCCTAGCCCTGAATACAAAGACAATAGCAGAAAGTGAAAAAGTTAAAAAATACTTTCTTAAAAATGACAGTCATTAGTTGATCATTAGTGAATGTGATTCTGTTTACTTAAATTACAGGAAGACAAGAGCAGAAGGAAGAGATGGGATGATGGGAAGTAATGAAGCATTGTTATGTGAAGTTTGTTGGAACAAACATATTTTTAGTCACGTGTAAATACTTTTAACTTTTTGGTTAAAAATGACACAAAAACTAAAAAATATTAGATACATCATCCACATGGAC